ACCTCTCCCTTTGGGTTGTATTTGCACCAAGGAGCAAAAGCGTTCAGAAGGAAAATTAAAATGCTTAAAGGAGAATGAAAACTTCAATGTGACTCCTAGCCCTGGTTTTCATAATGAGATAGTAACACCCCCTTCTCTTGGCATCCAATGAGTTATCAAAGCATTTACAGAGAGCTCACGGTCCAGACCCTGTTTCGTTTCTCCAAGAGGTGTTTTCTGCCCAGAACTGAGTGACTGATTTCCTAAATATACAGATCTATGCAGCTAAGATGCCGAAGTCTGTCCAAGGTCATCCTGGATGAGTTTCCTAAATAGTACTGCTCGCCTCGTACAGAGCTTTTAAAAGCAAGGAGGCGGGGGGCACGCTTTTTAGTTTCTTCCCAGAGGGCACTGCAAATTAAAATCAATGGACAGGAGTTAAATGGATATCAAAGCACGCTCTGACAGCTGGGCTCAGTTTCCCTCCTCTATAAAATGTCTCTGAGGGTTTTCCTAGGGGGTTTTAATAAAAAAAAATGTGGGACAACGGTTATGTGTGGTGGGAAATGGGGTGAATAACATCCCCTCCCATAGATGTACTAAAACCTGTAAAATGTCCCAGCCCTGGCACATAGTAGGTACTGTACCTCAGTACCTCTGACGCCCCCAAAGACAACATCTCCAGTGAGCCCCTGGTCTCCGAGAAGCACTGTCCTAAACCTTCTGTGGGGAAGGACTAGAAGTCTTTTCGTTGACTTGTTTGTTTTCAATTTTTTGGAATTATTTTGCGAAGTTTATTTATTTAATTTAAGAGAGAGAAAGTGTGAGCGAGGTAGAGAGAGAGAGAGAGAGAGAGAGAGAGAGAGAGGGAATCCCAAGCAGGCTCCACACTCTAGTCAGATGCTTAACTGACTGAGCCACCCAGGCATCCTGTCTTTAATTTTCAATTCATCGGGCAATGAGTCTTTCAAAAAGCTAAATATAAAAGGGATGGCTGGGGCAAGAAAATCAACAAAGATACACAAAATATATAATCAAGACAAATACAAGAGTCCCCCATGAAAGAGGCCTTAGAAATCTTCCAAAGATCCTCCTGACGATGGGGAAGGAGGTGACAAAGTAGATCAGGGGCACTGTTGGGATGGGACCCAAGTCACACTCCTGGGGCCTGCAAGGCGGTTCCCCGCGTACCCCTCAGGCCTAGGCAGCCTCCGTTACTCTCCCTTCCATATGTCAGAAGGACAGGGCTGCACCAGCGGGAGGCGAACGCAGCCTCTGCCCTGGGTTAAAATTCAAGGGGATGCCAAAAAACTCAGTCATCACCCTAAGCACTATTTCAGTGCAATTATTTTTTATAGGCAAGGCTATGCTGCCGTAACTGGTAATTATCAGAAGCTCAGCTGTTTAGCCCACATCAGTCAAGTCTGATGCAAGCTGTCCTCCATTACTTACTGTGCAGGATCCGGAACACAGCATCTCTAAGATCATAGGAGCCGAAGAAAAGAAAGGTGAGAGAGAATACCAGCGCCTCATTGCTTGACCCGGAAATAATACCCACTAAATCTACTCACGTTTCATTGGCCAGAATTAATAAATTACATCCTATCCTAACTGCCAGGGCACAGTTACAAAATGTAGAGGGTCACACAGATATTTGGTGACCTGAGAGCCTGTGCTTTACTCTTAGTGTAAGGGAATATATATGTGTGTGTGTATATATATATATGTATATGTATATATATTACCTATATGTAGCATATTATAGACTTCCTATGTATGAACTTATGTATATAAACTTTATATTTTTTATACAAACTTTATATAGATTACATGTAAACCTTTTATGTACGATTATTATGCATATAGACCTTTATATATATAGTATATATAAACTTGTACGTAGATAAACTTTTTACCAAAACAAAGTCAGCATTTTTCGTAAAGACGGGATCAATAACCGTACGACCCAAGCAATATTAGAGCCAGGCAAAAAGCAAAATCAGTAATGCTTGTCTTCACCTAAAATTTTTATATTTTGGGGCATCTGGGTGGCTCAGTCGGTTAAGCATCTGACTTCGGCTCAGGTCATGATCTCCGGGTTCGTGGGTGCGAGTTCCGGGTAGGGCTCTGCACTGACAGTGTGGAGCCTGCTTGGGATTCTCTCTTTCTCTTTCTCTCTCTCTCTGTCCCTCCCCCACATGTGCTTTCTCTCTCTAAATAAATAAATAAACTTCAAAAATGTTTTAAACTTTTTCATATTTTGTTCAGCATAGATTTTATTGCATTATTTTTGAGAAGGAAGTCATAGGTCGGTGCATTCAAAAATCATCAGTGTTAAGGGTTATTTCGTCGACGCTGTTGTTTGGCAAGCCACATTTAGCTACTGGCTAAAATAACTGTGTGCAGTAAGGTGGAGGTGAAGATGGGGTTTCCGAAGGTACCCCAAAGCAAAACAATCAGAAAAATTCAATTTTTTAAGGCTTATTTATTTACTTTTGAGAGAGAGGAGAGAGAATGAGCAGAGGAGGGGCAGTGAGAAAGGGGGACAGAGGATCTAAAGTGGGGTCTGTGCCCGATGTGGGGCTCGAACTCACAAACTGTGGGATCATGACCTGAGTGGAAGTCAGACACTTACTGACTGAGCCACCCAGGTGCCCCTCAGAAAAATTCAATTTTAAGACTGCGCTGATTGGAAGATATATGATCAACTTATGACTATCTTATCAGAAGGGAAAAAATGTCTGCTAATCTTTATTTCGCACTGTCCACAAGAAACACCCAGATTTCAGAAATATTAACGACCATAAAAGGCTCTTAAAATGCAGGCAATGTCTGGGGCGCCTGGGTGGCTTAGTCGGTTAAGCGTCCGAGTTTCCTTAGGTCATGATCTCGCGGTTCTTGGGTTCGAGCCCCGCGTCGGGCTCTGTGCTGACTGCCAGCTCAGTGCCTGGAGCCTGTTTCAGAGTCTGTGTCTCCCTCTCTCTCTGACCCTCCCCTGCTCGCGCTGTCTCTCTCTCTCCTAGAAATAAATAAAACATTAAAAAAAAATGCAGGCAACGTGGTAAAACATTTTAATTTGGGATTCCCAAGCACTCAAGTCTGCCCTCCAAAAAAGTAAACTCAGAGGACAAATCAATTTTATTAATGACTGACTGGGCATATTTACATGAATCAACTGACACAGGTACACATTATAACAACTGCTAACCACTTCCCACCCACGTGGACGGGGCTCAGGCAATGTGTTTGGTGCGAGCAGTAACACAGTAGCTTCCTGGTTCTGAATCCCTTCCTGGCGACTCTAGCTGCCTTCCCTTTCCTATCAACTTGCTCCTTCCCACCTGTCCATCTGAGAACTCAGTTCTCATCAAATGGAGTGGTTTACACGGCCTGGCAAATTATTACTGTGACAGGGATTAAAATTTCAAGCAAAAGAGATGAAATTTAAGCGACAGATGGGGAGTAATTTTGAGTGGGTAAGGGTGGGCTCCCTTGGTCGCATAGGTAAAAGCTACCTCTTCCTTTTCAACTACTTACTAACCGGTGTTTCTAGCACTTACGGGGATGATGCTGTCTCAGGTCTCCCCCACCAAGCAGTCAGAAGGTCAAAGCCTGAAATTGCACATCTGTGGGGCCAGGGTGCCCCCGTGGGTTTCTGAACCCAGACTAGTCGCTCCAGAACGCTCAAGCTTCTGTCAAGCAAGAAGCGCGCTCTAGGAATTTCGAGTCTGGCTTCATGCTGGGCCATGCTGGACTGGAGAGCAGGGGACAAGGGGAAGGAAGAGAAAAACCCCTATGAACCAAGAAACCACCCAGACTGGAGAGGATTTCACGCCAGATGATGGAACGTGGGTTGGAAGGAAAATGGGAAAGATGGCCGAAACACCTGGCTTCTGGCTGGGTGGGAGGCGCCCCCTAAGGGGGTCCCAGAAGCAGGCTTATTCCTCTGCGAATCTCCGCATCTGGACGGGAGTTGAGGCTGTGTCCTCACTTTCCTCCTCTGGGTAGCCTCCCTGATTTTCTGATTACGCGGAGAAGCGGAGCTGACGTCAGCATTCAGGGCGCTCGAGCGACTTTTGGGGTCACCACGTCCTCAGAACGTAGAGCCAGAAAGGAGGCGACTCCCTACTAAGCATTCACCCCCTCTTCCAGCCGGGGGGCCAAGGTGGCGCGTCCTGGGAGGCCCGTAAGGGGGACCCCACCACGGAAGCCCCCGGCCCTCTGCTACCGGCCATGCTACGGTGGCAACGCAGTGGCCCGAGGAAGCCTCGCCCCGGGTTTCCGAACCCATTTCTTTCCGCAGTGCTCGCAGCTCCCTGTTTTCCGCAGCGCGGGGCTGCGGCTACTGCGCGCGCACTTAGTGGCCGCTCCACTGCGCAACTCTCCGCGCACCCGAGAAAAGCCGGGTGTGAGGGGCGTCGGGGTGGGGTGCGAACCCCACCCCCCAGTAACACCGGCCGCTCTCGGGGCGCATGCGGGTCCCCACGCCGGGTGGGGAGGGGCCCGGGGCCGCGGCTTTCCCGGAAGCAAGTGCGGGTCAGCGCGCATCCCACCGCGACAGGGGGCTTCCGCCGCCGCGGGGTTGCGGGGCAGGGCGCGGGGGCGTTTCAGGGCGTCGCGCCTGGAGCGATACCCCGCGGGGAGCGAGATGCATCGGAAACCAGCTCCCGGCGGGTCCCGCGCCGCCGCGGCCGCCCTGGAGGGGGGACCCCGCCCGCCAGGCACGCGACAGCGCGCGGCGACCCGGGGGCGGCCCGGGCGGCGGGGGGAGCGGGCGAGCGGCGTGCGCCGTGCACTTCCTGTTCGGTGCACGCGGCCTTCCAGCGCCCCGCGCTCGCACAGCCTGCGTCCGGGCCGCGCCGCCCCTCGCCGGCCGAGCAGTGTCCCCGGGACGCGGCGCGGCGGTGGGACGCGGCGGGCGCGCCCTCCGGCCGGCCGGGCCGCCCCAGCCGAGTCGCCGCCAGAGCCGCGCGCCGCCGAGCTGGGAGCCCAGCTGCCCGGGCGTTCGCCTTTGCGCCTCCTCCTCCCTCCCCTCCGCCCCATCTCGCCCAGAAGGGGGACGGGCGGAGTTCCAGGCTCGGGGCTGGTTCGTTCTGCGGCCCAGGATTCTATTTACAAGCAAACTGCCTCACCCTCGCCAGATTGTCCACCTCGGCGCTGGCACCGGGGGCTTGTGTTCCAAATCACCGTGTTTCCCTGCACCTGCCTTTCAGGTTACCTCTGGGAATCTGTGGGAGGAGCTGACAGGGTGGCCAGGGTAGCTTTGTTTTGCAAAAGGAAGAAAACTTTGTCACCCAGAGGGAGACCTCTGCCACGCGTAACCCGGAGAGAGACCAGAACCAGGACAACCTTGGCTTTGAGTTTTTATCGATGAGCCCGTAAGGAGGAAGAGGACACGTGAACTCGGCGCACACGCCGACCGCCATCCGCCCCGGTGGCGGCGGCCGGAGGTACCTGCGCCACCTTCCCTCCCCGCGGAAGTCCCCGCGCGGTGTCTCCGCGGTGCAAGGGGAACCATCCGGAGCGCGCGGCTCGAGGCCGACCGCGGGGGCCGCGCTGGAAAGGAGAGGACCGAGCTGCGGGAACGAGTTACCCGGAATTAACTTCTAGTTAAAGTTATGGGAAGCGCGGCCATGGACACCAAGAAGAAGAAAGAGGTTTCCAGCCCGGGCGGGAGCAGCGGCAAAAAAAATCCCAGCCAGAAGAGGCGTTCGCTGCGGGTGCACATCCCGGTGAGTGCCGGCCGCGCGGTCCCCGGCTCCCCGGCGCCGAAGCGGTTAACGCGGGACGCCCCGCGCGCGCCGTGCGTGCCCCTCCTGTCCCTTCGGGCCGCTCGGGGATGGGTGGCGGCGCAGGGTCGAGCTGGGCCGCCCATCCCGGCTCCATCTCTCTCCCCAGCCGCGAGGAGCCGGGGCTCGGCGACCGTCAGCGGGGGCGCGGGAGGGGGCGCGCGCGGCGGCCGGCGGCGGGCTGGGCGTCGCCCCGGATCCCGCCCGGTGCGGGTGCTGGGGGCGGCGCGTAGTGTTGTTTTGTTGAAAAAGGACGGTGTGGACTGCGCTCCGGGTAGGTGGAGCCGCGCGGGGCTGCCGGGGCCGGAGGGCGGGGCAGCGGGCGGGGACAGCGGGCGGGGGGTGTGTGGCCGGGTAGCTGCGCCCGCAAATGGACCTTCGTCCCGCCCAGTTCCCCTCGGGGTGTGCCGGGGCCCGGGGCGGGGAGCGGGGGTCCTCTGCTGCCATTCCTTTCGCCTGCCTCCGAGAGAGCCCGTTTCGGGCATTTGGGGAGTCGGGGCTCCCCAACGCGTGCGGAGCTGCCGCGAACTTCAGCCTCGGCCACGCCGGCAGCCCCGCCCGGACTTTGGCGACTTCGATCGGTCTGCGGCTCGACTCTTTCCAGCTGGAGGGAGCGCCGGGCGGGGTCGGACGCCCACCCCGGGTTTTGCCCACCCAGGTGGCCCGCGGCCTCCCCCAGCTTCCCCATCGGGAAGTCCTCGCTGACCCTCGAAAGACACCCCCCCCCCGGGTCACGCCCCTGACCTCCACCAACCAAGTAAATGTCCAAGCAAATGTCCAAATGTCCAACCAAGATACACGTACACACAGAGACACAGAGCAGTGGGCTCCGTGAAGAATGTGACTTGATTCTGTCCTGGGCACAGGGTGGGAGTGCGCGGGGGGAGTCTCACCCTCCCGGACTGCCTCGGACGGGGCAGGACTGGGGAGGGGCTGCTGGCCTCTCACTTCCCCGCTGCGAACCCCGTTAGGTACTTTCCTTCAGTGTTTGTTCAACAACCCCCCCGTCCCCCGCCCCTTTCCCTTCCACGTGTGCCTACGCTTGGAGGAAGAAGAGTAGAGGCTGGGGGCCTGGAGCCCCAGACCTCCTCCGGGCACTTCGGGAGCACCCTGAAATCTGCAGAGGGAGGCCTGGGAACAGGTCACTAGGCGCTGTGTGGCCACCAGAGTAGTGACCCGAATATGCAGGAATACACATTCCTTGCAATAAGCATTCTATGTTAAATAGAATTTTTCTTGTTTACGTGGCTAACGTGAGGCATTTTCTGCCATCTGTGTAAATGAATAACAGGACGCCGGTGCTACACGTCTCCCCGTGGCCGTGATCACTTGAGTGAGCCGGTTCACTACTCAGTTTCTCCCATTTGTCAGAGATAATAATCTGCTTTGCCTGCCTTCCAGGGACGTTGAAATAAAACAGTTCATGGGGAAGCGCTTGCGGACGTAAAGTGTTGCATAAATGTATGGCTGTCACATCGACATCAGAGCAACCAGGTTTAAAAAGAGAGACTTAGAGAACAGAAAGTGACACTGTCCAGCGTCAGGCCGTATGGTACTGAGCCGGAGCGGTGCGGATGGGTCCAGATGCAGTGTTGGGGGCAGGGGTGCGCGCGGGGCCGCCGGAGGGGTGGTGCTGGTGGCGAGTGCAGGACAAAATCCAGAACCCAGAACAAGACTTGAAGCGCCACGCTGAGAAGGGGAAAGGCCATGGTGTTGCTGGAATGTTCTGACCACCTTCTTGCTGCTGGACCTGATTTTGGCTGCTCTACACAGCCTACTTGGCATGATCCATCTCTTACCGGAAGTGCTCTTCCCTGAGCTATTCCACACATGTGTCTAGTGCTCTGGTTGATGGTGAGGTCCAGGGGTGAAACAGAGGATCTCTGTTTCCCTCCTTATAGGGCATGTATTTGCTGGTGGGACCCGGGGCATCTTCTCGCTGACCATCTAGTAACTGCCTGTTGATTGCTGTGCTGGGCTAGGTGACAGGCCTGCCCTAGTTGGGGAAATATGGCATTCAGACAGATACTGGCCCATGATACCTGCTCTCAGAGGAGAGAGAGGGAGAGATGATGCATGCTGACGTGTTCAGAGAGACGTTAGATCCAGAGACGGTAGGCAGGACAGAGTCACATGTGAGAAGCCTGGATTACTCCCGCCAGCGAATTGGCTTGAGCCCCTCCATGAGCCCCCACCCGGATAACTGCTTCCGGGTACAGCAAAGAGCCCCTTCTCATGGAAGAAAGGGTTTGGGAATCAGAAACGGGGTGAGGACTGATCGAGGAGGGCCCTGAAGTAAGGTTGTCAGATTTAGCAAATAAAAATGTTGGACAAGCAGTGGATCACTTTTTAGTATGTGAATGTCCCATGCATCCTTTGGGATAAACTTATACTAAAAATACCGCCCATGGTTGTCTGGAATCCCAGCTGGGGGTCCTACATCTTCCCCAGCAGCTCTCACTGGCGGCGTCCAGTGCACTCTCAGGAAACAGGCCTCATGAGGTCTCTGGTGTGTCCACGCAGCTTGTCTATGCCCTGAATTGGGTTGAGTCCCTTTCGGTCATGATTAGGCTCAGTCTTTCACCTCATAGCTGGTTCGTAAACAGAACCATAGTTGGGACGTTGCAATCACTGTGAACCTCCATCCCAGGCTTTGACTGTCTTACCTATCTTTATCTTCCTTGCTACAGAAAGCACCCGCTATGTGAGACACCAGAATGGGGGAGTCCAGTTCCAAGGAGGCCCTGGGGCCTGTGGGTTGTAGCAGGTGACGGAGACCTGGAGTCATGAACTACAGTAACTGATGAACTGAATTTGATGAAGGGAGAATGGCCATTGGGCCTAAAGGAAGATGAAATCTGCCTTGGTTTTAGTCTCTTTCTTAGATGGCTGGGCTTGCCTTTCTGGTAAAAGGGAAGGTGGGAGAGAGGGGAGGAAGGGGACGCGTGAGTGCAGACCCCTCTGGGGTTTCCCTGGGCCTATGAACGAGATGGGCGCCATGTTTTGAGTCGCGGTGGGTTGGCACCTTGCCGTGGTTCTCTTCCCTCAGCCTTCCTCCCCGACGTGAAGCAGGAATAACATGAAGGTGGTGGGACTGGTTTTGGAAAGTAACCACTTAGAAGCCTCACTGTGTGCGGCGTTCTGCCAGGACTTTGCCAGAGAAACTCGCCTGGAGCACACATGTTCTCCTTTATCTTGTACCAAAAGGAGCAGCTTCCCTATTCATGCTGAAATTCTTGTATCCCAGACATTTTTAAACTGAAGACTGTCGACCGGCCTATTGTGGGTCTTTGGGGCTGTTTACAAGCCAGTGATAAAGCAGGAGGCCACGGGGGAGGGGAGGGCTCTGCAGGAGCCTGCGGGGACACTGAGGCAGGCCTGTAGGAGCTCAGCTTTCAGGCAGTGGCCCAGCATTTACCACCAGTGGAAGGCACAGGTCCCCGGGCCTCTCGGGAGAGGTGCTCCAGAAATCCTTCACGGGCCCTGGAGACAAACTAAAAATAGAGCCAAGCGTGGCTGGCTGGTCACAGAAGGTTGTGAAGACACCACGTGGCTTGAGCAGGCCGATCGCAGGTGATGGCTTGGCCCTTGGAGGGAATCTTCATGCTGCTTGAGGCCCAGTGCCTTCCACACCAGTGCTGGGCCTGTGACCAGCAGCCTCCGTCCCACCGGATCCACTCTGCTTGGGGACTCCAGACAGGGTGGGGCATGGGCTGGATGCAGGTGGGACCAGAGCTGCCCTTCTGCCCCACCCCCACCCCCTCCCTGCCGCTGAGCCTGGAGGACCGAGTGCTGAGAGTGCTTGCTACCTGTCACATCACTAAAATATGACAGACTGAGCCGCAGTGAAAGGAAAGGGGTGCCATGCAGTACAGTGAGGGTGTCAGTTTTGTTCTTGGCCTTGACCTTGGTCAGTTTGTACCACTTGAGCAAGATTTGTTGAGTAGGGGTTTCAAGCAGGGTTTTTCAAAGTGTGGTTCCTGGACTAGCTTAAGTACAAGCACCCAGTGTTTGTTTGGAATATAAAATCCTGAGTAACAGCCCAGACCTACTGAATCAGAATCTCTGAGGAGTGGGACCATGTTTCTGATAAGTTCTCCAGGTATGTCTTATGTTTATGGTGGCTTAAATATGAAAATAATTGTTTTTCAATTTCCCCAGTGTTAGTACTGATCTGTTTCTTCTGCCCCCATGAGTTATTCTTCTATCTGTTTAGGTAACCATTCATCCATCTGTCCATCCACCCATCCATCTACTTATGTATCTGCCTATCTATCTATCTATCTATCTATCTATCTATCTATCTATCTATCTATCATCTATCTATCTATCTAATCTATCCATCCATCCATTCATCCATCCATCCATCCATCCATCCATCCATCCATCCATCCATCTACTTATGTATCTGCTTATCTATTTATCTATCTGTCCATCTGTCCATCCGTACATCTATCTATCTATCCATCCATCCATCCACCCATCCATCTACTTATGTATCTATTATCTATCTGTCTGTCCATCCATCCGTCCATCATATCTATCACGTACACTTTTTCAGTTGTCATTGAGAAGAGATGTCCTTGGCTACTGACTCCTGAACAATGGTGACATACTTCTGGCTTCCAAATAAAGATGGCAGCCCACATTGGCCCCCAGCCAGGGTAGCCCAGCGCAGACCAGCCTATTAGGCCACAATGGAATGTGTCTTGATTCTGCCTTATGGTGCATCTTGGATGCCTAGAGCGTCAGCTCCTCTAAGGGCCCAGAGTATGATACAAGTACTTCCAAGCTTCAGGTGCAGCTCCTGGGTTCTGGAGTCCCTCGAGCTGTCCTGTGGCTCCAGGGTTTATAAATGAGGATGGGTTACCCCTCCACAGCTTGCAAGATGTGAGTGTGGCTGACTGGTGAGTGGGCTTCCTGAAATGCGGGCATAGCATGTT